GGGACAAATTGGAAACATAAATATGGGCAACAGTAAGATAAATATCACAAGATGGAATCCAAATTTGGCAGGTGAACATCAAGAGGACAATATTTGTACAGTCGACATGAGCTACACATCATGAACTCTGTTTGATTGCCTCATCATTATCCGGAAAACATCACTGCACGTCGTCTTATTCAGAAACTGCCTTTGAAAAGACAGATTCCATAGCACTCCAGGGTGATCACATCCTGTGACTGACAGTCGAAGGCTTCGGTCAGCTAGTAGGCCCTCATTCATCATTGTCTTTTTTGCGCCTGACATCTCAAAGATTTTCGATGTTTCTATTTTCGATTACAGCACGAAATTCACCAGCGACTGAGGTGACACATTTATAGATGGAATCAGTTTTGTCGTGAAGATCATGTCCCTAAATAGTTATTGAGTCACGTATGAAATCAAGAGGTATTGAATAGAGATCCATCCAGTGTGAAGCATTTTTTATTGTCTAGTCGCAGAATACATACTATTTACTGCTTCTCAATTATTTCAAACAATCTTAAGTCAAGGTTGTTAAAAGTGATAGAGTCACTTCTAACTAGTCACACACGTTCAACGTGCATCTCAGTAAGAGTTCTTTAAGGGTAGGCTGTTGAAAACCCTGTGTCTAAAACATCTGCACTAATAAAATCACATGTATAACATACAATTTCCGTGAGAGTTACCTCAGTTAGTAAAAAGTGATATCTAGTGAGAACATATCTTTGCTGAAACACCCAAATCTCGAATATTCTCAATAAATTTAAATGCATCATCACTGGAAAACTTAAATACTAACTAGCAAGGAACTTAATCCTGAGATCCTACTTTTTCCGAAAACGCACTGAGTCAACAACCACTCAGCACAGAAATCGACTTTATTGCCGAAACACAACAGATGGAAAGAAATTTTATTCTTCGATTGTTCGAATCGATATTCTGTACTAAGTCTATGAACTAATGCTTTTACGAGGAATGTAACGAAATGTTATTCGTATTCTTTCGTCTTCTTCTAACTTGTACACGACAGAATCACTTGCCCCTTCAAGTTGCCTGCCAGTGGCGACCAAAGTCAGTAAACAAACATTCAGTGTTCATATTCATTGACACTAGCCTTCTAATTTGTTCCAGTATACACCCTCTTCCAACCTCTATACATCCTATGAATTATTCTGTTTATGAGACTAATTGTTTTGCCACTTGACACTTGATGTTTAACTGTGATTGCAATCACAGATATTTTAATTGTAACGCAGGTTATTACTGTTTTTTGTATTCACACCTTTGATTAAATTTCCTCACGGAATATAATTTCTTAATAGGAAAACCGTATATATATATATAAGATTGCACAGATTGATAATAAATTCCCTCAGAGGAGTTTCTTTGCTAAACATTGCGTTTCTAATGCTACAATAGGAATTATTAAATTATCGAAAATAGTATAACTTTGAATAAAGAAAGAACGGAGATATTTGCAAGATAGTATGAGTTCGTTTAATTGCGTGGATTCTCTTCAACTGCCTACATTCTAATTTAATCAATTATAATATATTACTAAATTCCTGAACTTGAAATCACTGTAAAAAGTATGTTCTTGAATTTTCAATATATTTTAATTGATTAAATTAGGTTGTAGGTAGTTGAAGAGAATCTACGCAGTAAAACGAGCTCTTATTATCCTGCAAACATGTTCTTTTTTTCCATAATAAAACTAATAAACGGAACCGGTCGTGTGATTTTATAACTTTGTTATCATAATCTCGTTCCAATTAGACTATAAGCTGATAAGTATATTAAATGAGTTTACTATTTTAAAATATATGCTGGAAAGGTGGACGTCTATGTAGCCAAATTTCTTCGTCACATTCACTAGTATCAATATTAATCACACTAGACACATTAGCCTTAACATGCTTTGAATTGCCACTTGACACTAAATGTCATTCCATGAGATAGGTGAACGGATTTTAAGCCCTGAATTGTCAACTTTTATAAGAGAAGAAACTAAGATGAATTTGCCGCCATACAATAAACCTATTGTTCAAATGACGCGGTGAGTGAGACATCTATACAAATTTGACCATAAATAACCATATGAAATCTCTGATTCCGTGTACACCTAAGATCACAGTATTCGACTGTGTTTTCTGGCCGACGTGCAAAACCGGTTTCTGTCATCAACGTGTATGACAATGATTTTCGCGAATGACTTAAAGTGGAATCATTACCACTGGTTTTGGCCTCAGTGGGGGTGAAATGTCACTCCTCATAGTAGAAGAGCTGTTTAGATATCGATTTAAGTGAAGGAATACGACTTCTGTCGCCTGCCACTGATGAATGGTATGCAAGAAACAATTAAGAATACATTTGAATTTTTGGTAAGAATTGCTTTTATAAATATTTTATCATTGAATTATAATTTTTATTGTAATTAACAAAATTTTGTATTAAACTTATTACTCTAATCAAACTGGACGGAAAAAGATTTAATTTTAAAAAAGTTTATTCACTCTGGTATATTAATACTCATTGACTTGTTTTCATCTTCATTTTCCCTTGGAAACCTTCGTCGTACGTCTGTTTGTCGTTGGTTGTTTATGGGTGTATTCTACTTTGGTAGATGAACCACTGTTGTAATTTGTTTGCTTTTTACCATCATCAGGTTTGCTAACTACAATGGTGGGTCTGTTCTTTGTACTTGTTGGTATCCTGTTGTTGCTTGGTGATCCGCTATGAACACTAGGTCGCTTAACATTGGTGTTCGGATTTTGAGGCTTTTTTGAAGACCGCTGTTTGGTACTTTGTGGTTTGTCTTTTGATTGATCAGTGGTAACAACACTACGATCCTTTCCATCTCCTTGACAATTAACACGTTTAGCTTCATATGGCTTCTCACGTCCAACGTTTCCACTTTAAATAAAGAAAAGAGTAAAAAGAGAGGTTACACGCTGAAAAATTATACATATTTGGACAGCATATGCAGTAAACGAAAATCTGATATACAATTTCAACTCACCTCATTGCGTAATTGCATACAACATATATTCCATGTGTGAATGTCTTACTCCCCGTGCAGTTGTTTACTGCACACCCTATATACGCTGTATGGTTGGAAACAATCTAAATGACAAACAAAAGTGAACAGTTATCAGTTGAAGTAATTTTCAGTACAAGTTACCGTAAAATAAGATGACTCAATATGTGATGCAAAATATGGAATGTTGTGGCATAGATATCATTAATACCATGTTTGTGGTAAATACATGAATTACGCTTGCTCCTACTTCATCGCCATGAGTGCATGTATCTCACCAGACGATAAATTGTTACATCTTCTACAAAATGAATCCCTACTTTACCCTTTCCTTAAAGGGAATACATCAGAATACAGAATTATCTAATAAAATGTAGAAAGCAGCAAGCTGAAATAAGTGTGAACAGTGATAATCCCTGTAGAAATAATGCATAGGATCAAATAGAGTTTGATGATATCGAGACAGTTTATTATTTCAGCACTGCTCTGTAAAAATAAGGCAAACATTTTTTATTTTATTTTTATTTTTTTATTTTTGATTACAGCTTGATGCCACACCATATTTTCAGTACTAGTATGGTATTTTCAGCATGGATATCGGTAGCCCAAATTTTCGCAGGCCGACCATAGATATCGGGTGTGCGTCGGCAAGGGATCGAACCCCTGACCATGTGCATGATCGGTGAGAGCCCTAACCACTGTGCCACCGACGCACATAATCAATACATACAAAATGCAAACTGCATCAACAATCAGCCAGCATACGTTTTACTTCATTGCACATTATATAGTGAATTAGCTACATCAAGTGAAGTCTCTTTAACAGAATGATAAGTAGACTTTAGTGACAGCCGTTGAATAATAGGATTCATTCAGTATGATTCTCAAAACCTTTCAGCACCAATACGTTAAGAGTAGATAGAGATCTATGAACAGAAGATATGCCCATCTCAAATCACCCAACGCGTATAACTTTAGCGAATTCACAGGCAGAAATTGTCTTATAACAACCACGACAGAGAATTCTATCCACATTGGATCAATGAGTTTCGCCAACTTGATCATGTATGAATGATAAACTTTGAGGTTAAAGTAAAAAATGGCACTGAAGCAACTTCTGAAACTTATGTCTGACGATTTTCTTTTGATGAGTTATTTTTGCAATGACCTACTTCGAAACAAACTGTGATCGTAAATATTTACTTCACAGAAATAAAATTGCTGCATAAGTTGGATTTTCTCTGGCAGTAAACAGATTCGATTACAAACACACAGGCTACATACTTTAATCAGGAGATACCTTCGCTAGTTCCTCACTGAAGATCAGAAAACGAGAAAGGATTGGCAGACAAAGGAGAGCCTATGTTCCACTTGGAACCAGAGGGAATAATGATAATAATTTGCTCACATGTGAAAAATTTAAGCATATTTGCATCACGCTTAAAATATCCTGATCGTTTAAAATCTGTTTCTCCATTGAATTTACTACCCAACCACAATCATTCACCAATGTTATAATATGTAGGACATCTTTTGAAAGTTAACCAAAATTGGTGTGTTCTGTTCGGTAACAGAGACATTGCTAACTACAATTAACTAATGTGTTAACAGATCGGCCATTAGACATGCATACATGAATAAAGTGGCTAAAACATTAAAATTCAAGTAATTAAGTCTAAAATTATTGTACCTGAGTATAATGTCCACAAACTTTCCCTGGTGCGCAACTTTGATTCCAATAATTGTAATTCTTGTGTTCATCTGTCCACGCTGTCATAGCTCTAAAAGTTTAGGCATAATAAACAATTGTTAATTAAATTCATTTACCGAGCTACAGACAACGATCTCGCAATGTTTTGTCGAATGTAATTGAAAGTGTGCTTTTGAAGAGTTCTATAATCAGGCTCGAATACACATCGTTTAGCTAGTTTCTTGGCATAACCTGCGATTTCATCGTCCCATTTCTGAAATAAAAGCAATCATTTACAAGAGGATAAAGTTTTCTAAATAAGTATTGTTTGACTTCACAACTCCAAGTCACATATGAAAAGAAGAAGAAGAAATTCACATCCGAAATGTATACTGAAACTGCAGTTTCAGAAACCCTCATTACACATAAATAATTATGCAGATTGAAATCAACTGCAACTCAGACTTTTACTCGAAATGAGAAGTAGAAAGCTTACCAATTCAGGGAGTGGAGTTACACTAGGTGGTTGTCCACGTATTTTGCAGTTGCTCAGAGATTGCCTGAAGTTGTTATGCCATTTTAGCAAGTTGATCTCATCTTCAGTTGAAGGTGAGCCAGAGGTTAATTGAAAGAGTAGCACCAAAATAACCAGAATAGTTGTATCCAACTTGTGCATGTCCTAATATAATAGATAAGATGATTTATATTTAAGCGTATAAATATCTCTTCAATATTTTTATTTTTATATTTTTTTAGTGTGTGACCACCTGTAATTCTCATAACAAGCTCAACGAATACAATTTGATCGGCAGAGAAGATGCATATTTGTGATTTACTCAAAACACTATGAATTAAAATCCTCAAAGTATTCTTAGTGACCGACTATCCACTTTGCTTTTCATTTGATATAAATTAAATTGGAGGAAGAAACTGGAGTTCAAGATCCATCACTGGATTTATTTTTAGTAGTTTGATATAGGTTTCCTTACCATCTACAACAAACAAGTATGCGTAGTCTTACGGAGGATGAATAAACATTTATTATTCAGTCACATGTTGTCAACCTATATGAATGTGGCATCTACTGTTTAGATCAAATTGATCTGTCCATAGAATATTGCTAGCTGATTTGGTCGATATTCTATTGCTCATGACAACCAGAAGGACATATTGTCTTGATACTCTGTTCCGACTATTCAGTGAAACTAAAGCGAATCAAGACTTTGTTGTTTAATAGAGGTGCATTGAGCGGCTATTTGTAAGGTGGCTATATATATTATTCAGTAAGCGATAACTGGATATATGCCTCCATAAAAATCAGAAAATGCAAATTGGAAATAACTTCAGAAACTACTCAATGGTCCTCAAAGCTACTTATCGGATTAAGCAGAATTACAACCGAGTAGCCAAGTAGCTAGATAGTTGTCAGCGGATAGGAGCCTCCGAAATAGAATGATATCACTTTATACTGCAAATAAAAGTCTTTGTTTCTGGATTGAAATTTATCAAGGGAACCAGGTGTTTGAAAAACAAAAGTGTTTTGAGTAGCTACTGTCAATATCCTCCTCAAAGAGTTAATTCGCTATTACGAAACTTCTTTATATATAAAACCTATCAATAGAGAAGTGAAACTAGTGAGTAGGAAATTTTGCATCACGTCAGGATTGACTTACAGACTGATTCATCTTATTGATTCACATAAATATGAACTGTGCTTATTACTGCGAAATAACCATTCCGAAGTACATACTGAAATGAGAATAAATTCCTACAATGTTAAACAACTCATGGTTAAACGCCTGTCTTCATTCCTCATAAAAATATTTTAAGAAAACTTAGTTTCTCACAGCTTTCATCAATGTGGTCACTGTTAGTGGTGATGACTGTCATTGAAACGACTCCCTCCTCTCCCTCTCACCTATGAGTTGGATGGCAGTATTATGCAAGTCAATGTGGAGGAATTTACAATCTCAGCTTTGCTGTATTACTCGTGTCTCTTCCTAAACATCGACTGCACAGTACTCACTACTAGTTTGAGTTAAGCCAAATAATGTAGTAAAGTATTTCAATCAACAAAGACCAGATTTGCAGCATAAAATGAGATCATACTATTCCACAGATTCCCACCGAATACAAACTTATTGAAATTACAAGGGTTATATAAAAATGATAGTAACATACCTCTATGCTTGAATGGTTAACGTATCCAGAAGGCAAACACTGTGACTACTTTTAGTTCAAGTCAGCATCAGTTTATATATACTTTCAAGTAGAAGACGAGAGAGCGGGGTGTTGAATGAGACAATGGACAGATAAAAATATGACAAACTCTGTTTGCTTATAAGTTCACACAGCAACTCAAGAAGGTTAAGGCTCATTAGACTAAACTATCTTACGAGGTATAACCTTGAGTCGGTATGTGAACGTACAAACAAACACTGTTTATTAGAAATTTTCTGTCTTTGCCCCGCCGCCCCCGCTATTTAGTATTGTCGTTTGCTACTTGAAACCGCGTAAGTTGATGCTCAATCAATGCTTATAATTATAGGTTTTCAGACCGTAGGTGTTACGAACTTTCTGAAATAATTTGAGCGCCGAGTCAGATTGATTCATTATAAATAATATAAATTAATCCCAGCGTTTTAAGAAAATCAAAACAAGATTTTTCTGAACGTTTCGTTGTGTAAGCCACAGCTTCTTCAGCAGATTTATTCAGATTTTTATTAATTATCAAAATATATAGTCAAAAATTTTACATAAATTGAAGTCAGTTTATTTGAAGGTCATTTGTACATGGACATTTTTACCAATAGAAAATATGTAAGCAGTCATCACATATATTTGCAATGACTCATGTCAAATTGTTGTTGTGTTGACTCTTCTGTAGTTGATTTGTACAGATTAGCTTTTTATATGAGTGTGTGTGTATGTATGTTATTTGTCATGTGGAAAATACGTGAATTCATATGTGATAAAAAGATACTACATGTTTTAAAAGGACATGGAGGCTCATAGATTGTTTATTGTTTTTCATATGTCTTCCTCCATAACAGTTTGCCATATAGGTGATAATTCTATCCCTTCTTTCCTATTCATTGCATTCGATGTGGTTAAAATGTGCAAGGCTTCAGAAGTCAATCTTTCTTTATGTGAATGAAATCCTCTTCCAAGAATTTCGACACTGTCGAAATCAATCTTATGTCCGCTGTCCATCGCATGCATTGCTATAACCGATCTCTTTTCTAGATTTTTTAGTTCTACTTCATTTCTAGGTGGACGTTTCGTGCATAGTCTATGTTCATTCACTCTGACCTTCACCTGCCTACTGCTCTCCCCCATATAGTATGCATCACATTCTGAACACTTTATCTTGTAGACACAATTACTTTGTGACATTTTGGGAACTACATCTTTGACATGCACCAGAGCTTTCTCCAGAGAATTAGAAGGTTTGACATAGACTTTATTATTATATGAGGCAAATAGTCTTTGAAGTTGTTCAGCTGTGTCCTTTTGATATGGGATGGCTTTCCCGGATAACCCTTTCCAATCAAAATCTGTTTTATTTTGGATATGGCGTTCTCCATATCGCCATTATCTGTTATAATGTTTCTAGCTCTGTTAACGAGATTTAAAGCTACTGAAACTTTCATTCTTATTGGATGATCTGATTGGAAATTCAAATACTTGTTGAAATTTGTCGGCTTTCTGTATATGGTAAACTTTAGTTTCTCGTCAGTTTGTCTTTTTAAAAGACAATCAAAAAGTTTAGAGTTCCCTCAGCCGATTCTATTTCATTAGTAAACTCAATATATTCTGCTAAAAAAGTTCTTTATGATGATAAATGTGTCATCTACATATCTGTACCATAATCTGGGATGACAACTAAAACTTGTCAATGCTTTCTTTTCTAGGGCTTTCATAAATAGGTTTGCTACAATTGGAGATGCGGGTGAAACCATTGCGAAATTTGTCTGTGTCAAACCTTCTAATTCTCTGGAGAAAGCTCTGGTGCATGTCAAAGATGTAGTTCCCAAAATGTCACAAAGTAATTGTGTCTACAAGATAAAGTGTTCAGAATGTGATGCATACTATATGGGGGAGAGCAGTAGGCAGGTGAAGGTCAGAGTGAATGAACATAGACTATGCACGAAACGTCCACCTAGAAATGAAGTAGAACTAAAAAATCTAGAAAAGAGATCGGTTATAGCAATGCATGCGATGGACAGCGGACATAAGATTGATTTCGGCAATAATTACTACAGACCGAACTCTATCAGTCAAGCTTTGCTATCTGACCTCTGTACTGGATGGCTTAACAGCACGGTTCATTGTGAAGTGTTGTTAGATGGTTGGAATTGCTGAGGCTTACTGATGATCGCCTCCAACCACACATTAACGACAGTTCATAGTTCACTCTGATGGCGAGCCATCTAGCATGGTGGAAACATCGCAAAACCTAAATGACAGAATTCTGTTTGCACCAAACAGAGCACTAGTATCCAGAACAGACCTGTATGATGTCAATAGTAGATATGCCCTTCTTTCTGTCCTTCTAATGTAACTGCTCCCGCAGATACATGTAAATTTGTATATACAGTTGGAGTTCACATGAGAAGGATATCTATCGATTTCTGACTGCAGGATGGCTGATGGTAATCGGCAGGAAGCCATGAAACAGCACTACCGCCTGCCGTAAAATGAACTGAAACCAACTCTGCTTTTTATCAACGTGTTGCAGTCAGAAAGAATACCAACGAATTATTTGACCTGGCGAGTTGTTTAGTGCTTTTATCAACTGTTCAAGGATGAATTACTAGTTACGGGTGTCTCATAGCTGTGCACACTGAGTTCAGTTAGTGAATTCGTATTTTTGCATCATCGTTGTGGTGTCATCAAATTAATGCGTAGAGGTGAGTAGCAGTTTTGCTTTTCAGTATCACATTACTTACGCTATTTAGATGAAGAATGAAATATGAATTCCCGAAACGATGGAGTTAGTGTTCTTTAGGATATTTCAGCTTGTTGAATCCTACCAGAGAATTCGGAAGTGGATTCCGCAAACTGAAAAGCTGTACAGTCAATTTGGGTGCCTTATTGTCAATCACAAGACTGTCTAATTTTCCGACCATCCAAATACAATATGCTTCCAGTCTATCATGTTGCTATGATCACCTAACTATTTCCTTGAAATGCAAACCGATCGAAACACAGGGCTCCAAGTAATAAAATTTTACCAGCAGTCGGAGTTCTTAACCTTCCATCTTATACAGGCTTGCTTCCGGATGGTCAAGGTTTAGAAACAGAAGCTGGACCACTTGTTTGGCTGGCGAGCTCTCCACTGTCAAACTACTGATTCACAGTTCTCAACTTATGTGATTATTTCGTTCAATTTCACTTGCTAAAGAAATCAACTTGTTGCAGGATGAGAGGTAGAATAATCCAATACTTTCCTATATCTACACTTCAGCAGTAGTTAACAGCACTATTCAAACGAGTTCTGAAATGTAATGCAAACCCGAAATTGATATCCTGACTGCTGAAGAAGTAATGTCGACTGTCGCGTATCTCAATATGTATGAGGCAAACATTTCCATGAATTTATCTTGTTTCTGTCAATGCACAATCTATCAGCCTAGTGTTGTTATTTAGATCGAATCATAACATCATAGTAGG